ACGCACGCACGCGCACACACATACGCACACACACATACACGTACGTAGATGCACACACACACGTACGTAGATGCACACACAACAACAACAACCGCCATTCGCCGCTAAGTGGCGGTGACGTCACCACGACGCTTGTGCCAGGCTATGCATACACACATACCCACACACGTACGCGCACACATGTACAAACATGCACACACGCACATACACACGTAGATGCACACACGTACACATGCACGCACGCATACACGCACGTAGACTCGCACACGTACCCACATACACGCACACACAAAGATCAAAGATCCCCCGTGTAGCCTTAACAGACTGTAGGGGCAAGTGCTGTTAGCAAGCAGCACCTATGAAGGCCGGAACGGCACACGAGGGGGTGGGTGGCCAGCACCACGCCCGACCGCCTTTGTCTCCCCAGTGCTAGCGATGTTCACTACACACCGCTACACCAGGTGACTCATTTGAGGCCGAGTCGACCTAGGGGAGGCCCAGGACCGGTTCAGATAATCGTCACCGGCGGTGTTGGCCGTGAGCGGGAATCGAACTCGGGCCGCCGGGTTTGTAGCGCTACCCTACCGCTCCCCGTACAGAGACACGCGCGCGTATAGACACAGACACGCAGAAGCAGACACACACGCACACAGACACAAGCAGACACGCACACACGCAGACGCACACACAGACACACGCACACACAGACACGCAGACACACGCGCAGACACGCAGACACGCACACAAAGACGCACACACAGACACGCGCACACACAGACACGCGCACACGCAGACACGCACACGCAGACACAGACACACACGCACACAGACACACGCACACAGACACACGCACACAGACACACGCACACAGACACACGCACACAAAGACACGCACACACAGACACACACACAGACACACAACCAACAAAGATCTCCCATGTTGCCTGTAGCAGACTGTCGGGGCCAAGTGCCGTGTGTGTTTCTGTGTATCTTTGTGTGTCTCTGTGTGTGTGTCTGTGTGTGTGCCTCTGTGTGTCTCTATCTCCATGTGTGTCTCTGTGTGTGTCTCTGTATCTCCGTGTGTGTCTCTGTGTGTGTGTCTCTCTGCGCGTGTCTCTATATCTCTGTGTGCGTGTCTCTGTGCGTGTGTGTCTCTGTGCGTGTCTCTATATCTCTGTGTGTGTGTCTCTGTGTGTGTGCCTCTATATCTCTGTGTGTGTGTCTCTGTGTGTGTGTGTGTCTGTGTGTGTCTCTGTGTGTGTGTGTCTCTGTGCGTGTCTCTGTGTGCCTCTATATCTCTGTGTGCGTGTCTCTGTGTGTGTGTCTCTGTGTGTGTCTCTGTGTCTCTGTGTGTCTCTTGTGTGCGTGTGTCTCTGCGCGTGTCTCTGTACGTGTCTCTCTATATCTCCGTGTGTGTCTCTGTGTGTGTCTCTGTGTGTCTCTATATCTCCATGTGCGTGTCTCTGTGTGCGTGTCTCTGCGCGCGTGTCTCTATATCTCCGTGTGCGTGTGTCTCTGCGCGTGTGTCTCTGTGCGTGTCTCTCTGTGTGTGCGTGCGTGTGACTCTGTGCGTGTCTCTCTGTGTGTGCGTGCGTGTGTCTCTGCGCGTGTCTCTCTATATCTCCGTGTGCGTGTCTCTGCGTGCGCGTGTCTCTGCGTGCGCACGAAGGCAAGCGCCCTGCGGAGGACTCCGGAGAGGAGCAGTCGACCAAGCGGTCGCGCAACAACGACGATTCCCGAGTGGAGCTGCGCGTCCTCATGCAGAGCAGGGTGAGACGTTCGCTTGTGGGATGTTGACCGACCTCTCCCGGTACGCAGGAGGTCGTGGGGGCTCCCCTAGCCCCCCCACCTGCTTTGTGATGGCCAGGAGTCCCGTCTGGACAAAGGGAACCGCGAAGCTGAGCGGGAACTTGCCCTCCGGTTCTGTTCGGTAAAGTCGCGTAGGTAAAAATAAAACTGAAACGACAACAAAAACGACGTTTCGGCCACAAACGCAGGCGGCCTTCATCAGGTGAAGGGGACCGTGCTGTCGCGAGGACAGCGTTGGGAGTGGAAACAGCCAAGCCCACAGGTCGCGTCCTTTAGGCTGTGTGGGAGGAAGCAAAACGCTCTTGACAAATTGCAATTTGCGTAAACGTGAGCTCGATGTACGTAGGAGGTGCACGGGCCATGATGGACCAGGGGCGGGTAGGGGACCAATCTCGAACTGAGTGGGAATTGCCTTTAAAAAAAATGTAATGTTATTGTTTTTTTTAATTTATGATTGCGTTTCTTCTCGTCTCCATCGCTTTACCGGAAGAATGTAACCCCGTGAAACATTTAAAATGGTTTAGTTACCCCCTCCATCGCGGTGTCCAGCGCACCGCAGTGATTTAATTGGACTCCCTCCGTGCACCACCACCACCCCCTCCCCACCCACCGTGCGTGCTGCAGAATGCCGGAGCCGTGATCGGCAAGGGAGGGAAACACATCAAGGCTCTGCGAGCCGATGTAAGTCCCGCACGCTAAGCCACGCGCTAAGCCACGCGCTAAGCCACACGCCAAGCCACGCGCCAAGCCACGCGCCAAGCCACGCGCTAAGCCACGCGCCAAGCCACACACGCCAAGCCACACACGCCAAGCCACACACGCCAAGCCACGCGCCAAGCCACGCGCTGCGTTTAAAAACCACACGGGGCAATCCCACAGCAGCCACTAGGAGCGTGAGGATCTTGGCCGCGTTTTGTGTCGTGAGATTTCCTCCCCCATCCATCACCATCACCACCACCACCCGATTGGGCCACAAACGGAATTGGGATGTCCGCAAAGCCACGGCCTTGACGGCACTTGCCGATTTGCTGCGATCGTTACGGATCGCTCGCTAGACTACTCGCCACACCACTCGCTCGCTCAACCGCTCACTGAGTTACTCGCTGTACCACTCGCTCGCTCACCCGCTCACTACGCTACTTGCTATACCACTCGCTCACTCAACCACTCGCTCACCCGCTCACTAAGTTACTCGCTGTACCACTCGCTCACTCAACCACTCGCTCACCCGCTCGCTACGCTACTCGCTGTACCACTCGCTCACTCAACCACTCGCTCAACCGCTCACTAAGTTACTCAACTACTCACTACACCACTCGCTCGCTCACCCGCTCACTACACTACTCACTCAACCACTCGCTCGCTCACTACGCTACTCGCTATACCACTCGCTCACTCAACCGCTCGCTCACCCGCTCACTAAGTTACTCGCTATGCCACTCGCTCACTCAACCACTCCGCTACTCGCTACACCACTCGCTCAACCACTCACTACGCTACTCGCTACACCACTCGCTCAACCACTCGCTACGCTACTCACTACACCACTCGCTCACTCAACCGCTCACTCACCCGCTCACTACGCTATTCGCTGTACCACTCGCTCACTCAACCGCTCACTCAACCGCTCACTCACCCGCTCACTACGCTACTCGCTATGCCACTCGCTCAACCACTCACTCACCCGCTCACTACGCTACTCGCTGTACCACTCGCTCACTCAACCACTCACTCACCCGCTCACTACGCTACTCGCTACACCACTCGCTCACTCAACCGCTCACTCACCCGGTCACTACGCTACTCGCTATACCACTCGCTCGCTTAACCACTCACTCACCCACCCGCTCACTCACCCACCCATCCCAATCACTCACCCACCCAGTCACACACCTACGCACCCACACACGAACACGCTCACTCACTTCCTCACCCATTCAATTATCCACCCATCCACTCGCCCACCCATCCCAATCACTCACCCACATGCTCACTCACTTCCTCACCCACTCAATTACCCACCCACACACCCACTCAGTCACACACACTCCCTCACCCTCTCAATTATGCACTCGCCCACCCTACCGACACACCCATACACTCACTCACCTCCTCACCCACTTAATTATCCATTCACCCACCCACTCACCCACACACCCACTCACCCACACACCCACTCACCCACACACCCATACACTCACTCACCTCCTCACCCACTTAATTATCCACCCACCTCACCCACCCACTCAACCCACCTACCCCAATCACTCACCCATACACCCACTCACCACCTCACCCACTTAATTATCCATTCACCCACTCACCCATCCACTCACCCATGCACTCAATCACCTCCTCACCCACTTAATTATCCATCCACCCACACACCCACCCACACACCCACCCACCTCCTCACCCACTTAATTATCCACCCACTCGCCCGCCCACCCACTCCACCAAATCCCGCCCACTGTATGAACACTCGACGCCCTCCTCCCCACCAGCCCCCAGCCCCTTCGCCCCCCCCCACGCCACTCCTTGCCCCTCAGCCCTTCGACCACCACCACCACCACCCCCCACAGTGCCACCCACCCACCCACGTGACTCTCTCTGTGGGCAGCGTCTGACCGCCACCAAAATAAACCGGCGGCAAAGTTCCCCACGCGCCCCGGGGCCCCTTGCGCGGGGTGGGGGATGGGGGGGTGGTGGCGGTGTTCTGCCACCCGTGGCCTACCGGAGAAACGATGTCGCGTGTCTAAAGAGGTGTGCGTGCGTGTGTGCGTGCGTGTGTCCTTGTGTTCTGGTGTATCTCCCTCCCCTCCTCTCTCACCCCCCCCCCTCCTCCCTCTGATCTCCCACCACCCTGCCCCACCCGCCCACCCACCTTCCCGCCCAGCAAACAAAAAAAATCCTCACCCACCCACCCGCCCACTCGCTCGCCTACCCCACCCACTCACCCACTCGCTCGCTCGCCTACCCACCCAACCACCCACTCACTCGCCACTCAACCACCCACTCAACCACCCACTCAACCACCCACTCACTCACTCAACCACCCACTCAACCACCCACCCACTCACCCACCCACTCAACCACCCACTCACTCACTCAACCACCCACTCAACCACCCACCCACTCAACCACCCACCCACTCAACCACCCACCCACTCAACCACCCACCCACTCACCCACCCACTCAACCACCCACTCAACCACCCACCCAATCACCCACTCACCAACCCACCCACCAATCCACCCACCGACCACTCCCCCCTCTCCACCCCCTCCCTCCCCTTTCCACCACCACCACCACTCTGGGCCTGTGTGGGTGGTGGCCTCCAAACCCCCGCCTGCCCCCCAATGGCCTCCACACCAACAACGGGGGCCCCCCACCACCACCACCACCTCCACCCACCAATGCTGGGCCTGGCAACTCGAACCTGCAAACTTCAACCGCCACCAACAAACCAACCAACCTCTCCTCCTCCCCACCAACCAACCACCCACCAATCCCGGGGGATGTGTGTGGGGGGGTTGTGTGGTGGTGGAGCCGTTCCTTGCCCTGCCCGGCACTGCCCTGCCTGGCCCCTGCCCGGCCCCGATGTGATTGGGGCCCTGCCCTGCCTGGCCCTGCCTGGCCCTGCCTGGCCCTGCCTGGCCCTGCCTGGCCCTGCCCTGCCCGGCCCTGCCCGGCCCTGCCCTGCCTGGCCCTGCCTGGCCCTGCCCTGCCCGGCCCTGCCCGGCCCTGCCCGGCCCTGCCCTGCCCGATGTGATTGGGGGCCCTGCCCTGCCTGGCCCTGCCCTGCCTGGCCTGGCCCTGCCCTGCCTGGCCCTGCCCGGCCCCTGCCTGGCCCTGCCCTGCCTGGCCCTGCCCGGCCCCTGCCCGGCCCCTGCCCGGCCCCTGCCTGGCCCCGCCCTATCCGACCAACCACAGTACAATGCCACCATAACAGTTCCTGACAGCAGTGGTCCCGAGCGGTATGTTATGTTGCACGCGTCCTGTCTGTCTGTCTGTGTGTGTCTATCTGCGTGTGTGGGGTGTGTCTAGCTACGTGTGTGTCTAGCTACGTGTGTGGGGTGTGTGTGTGTCTTGCTACGTGTGTGGGGGGTGTGTGTGTGTGTCTAGCTACGTGTGTGGGGTGTGTGTGTGTGTCTAGCTATGTGTGTGGGGTGTGTGTGTGAGTCTAGCTATGTGTGTGGGGTGTGTGTGTGTGTCTAGCTACATGTGTGTGTGTGTGTCTCGCTACGTGTGTGGGCCGACCGAAACTGAAATTTCTGGTTTCGGACGGAAAACGGAACCAGACCGAAAGTTAAAAAAATTGAAACTCGATTTGAAGCTTTCGTGACTGCAGGAATTACTCTCTCAAATTTAGTTCTACCTGATGATGGTTGCTTGTGTTGCGTGTGTCTGTGTGTGTGCGTGTGTCTGTGTGTGCGTGTGTGTCTGTCTTTATCTCTATCTGTGTGTGTGCGTGTGTCTGTGTGTGCGTGTCTCTGTGTGCGTGTCTCTGTGTGCGTGTCTCTGTGTGTGTCTCTGTGTGCGTGTGTCTGTGTGTGCGTATGTCTGTGTGCGTGTCTCTGCGTGTGTCTCTGTGTGTGTGTCTCTGTGTGCGTGTGTCTGTCTGTGTGTGTCCGTGTGTGGGGGGAGCGGTGGTGCAAGCGGTTTGATTTCCTGTCCATGGCCGACAGAGGTAGCGGTGAAAATCTGAACCCTGTCCCCAACCACGACAACTACTACCCAGTCACCACAACTACTACTACCACAACTACTACCCAATCACCACAACTACTACTACCACAACTACTACCCAATCACCACAACTACTACTACCACAACTACTACCACAACTACTACTACCACAACTACTACCCAATCACCACAGCTACTACTACCACAACTACTACCCAATCACCACAGCTACTACCACCACAACTACTACCCAATCACCACAACTACTACTACCACAACTACTACCCAATCACCACAACTACCACCACAACTACTACCCAATCACCACAACTACCACCACAACTACTACCCAGTCACCACAACTACTACTACCACAACTACTACTACTACCACAACTACTACCCAGTCACCACAACTACTACCCAGTCACCACAACTACTACTACCACAACTACTACCCAATCACCACAGCTACTACTACCACAACTACTACCCAATCACCACAACTACCACTACCACAACTACTACCCAATCACCACAACTACTACCACCACAACTACTACCACAACTACTACTACCACAACTACTACCCAATCACCACAACTACTACCACAACTACTACCCAATCACCACAACTACTAATACCACAACTACTACCCAATCACCACAACTACTACTACCACAACTACTACCCAATCACCACAACTACTACTACCACAACTACTACTACCACAACTACTACTACCACAACTACTACCCAATCACCACAACTACTACCACCACAACTACTACCCAATCACCACAACTACTACTACCACAACTACTACCCAATCACCACAGCTACTACTACCACAACTACTACCCAATCACCACAACTACTACCACCACAACTACTACCCAATCACCACAACTACTACTACCACAACTACTACCCAATCACCACAGCTACTACTACCACAACTACTACCCAATCACCACAACTACTACTACCACAACTACTACCCAGTCACCACAGCTACTACCACAACTACTACCCAGTCACCACAACTACTACCACAACTACTACCCAATCACCACAACTACTACCACCACAACTACTACCCAATCACCACTACTACCACAACTACTACCCAATCACAACCACTACTACTACCACAACTACTACCCAATCACCACTACTACTACCACAACTACTACCCAATCACCACTACTACTACCACAACTACTACCCAATCACCACCACTACTACTACCACAACTACTACCCAACTACCACCACCACCAGTACCCAAACACCACTGCCCCCGAGGCTTCTCTAATGTGAGCCACCTTAACCCGACGATCAAGCAACCAACACCACAGCCACCACCACCATCACCCACTCTTGCTATGTGATGACCTAACCGCCACCATCTCCCTAGCCGCCGTGACGACGACGATGATGACGATGATGATGATGATGAGAGAGAGACACGCAGACTCTAAACACGCAGCAGCAGCATCAGGCTCACGTCGCCTTACGAAGCGATGCGAGCGGTGACGGGAGTGTCGCTCAGTAGGTGGCCCAGCTTGGGTGTGAACCAAATTAAAGGTGGCCTCTTGTTCGTTTGTTTTACTTGCCGTGTTGCGTGGCATGCAGGCGCGCGTGCGTGTTTTGCTAACCTGCGTGCGTGTGTGTGTGTGCGTGCCTGTGTCTGTGCGTGTGTGTGTGTGCGTGTGTGTGCGTGTGTGTGCATGTCCCCTGTCCGTCGGCCTCCGTGTCTGTGTCTCCTGTCTCTCGCGCTGTCTCTCCGTGTCTGTGTTTCTCCGTGTCTCCTGTCTCTCGCGCTGTGTCTATCCGTGTCTGTGTCTCTCTGTGTCCGTGTCTCTCCGTGTCTGTCTCTCCGTGTCTGTCTCTCCGTCCGTGTCTCCGTCCCTCTGTGTCCGTGTCTGTCCGTGTCTCCTGTCTCTCTGTGTCTTTGTGCCCGTGTCTCTCCGTGTCCTTCTCTCCGTGTCTGTCTCTCCGTCCCTGTCTCTCTGCGTCCGTGTCTCTCCGTGTCTCCCGGCGCCCGCTTGCTGTTCGGCGAGCAGCATTCTCATCGTCATCGCTTCCATCGAGTCCATCGGACACGTCATGGGACACGTCATCCCCGCACTCGAGGAGGTGAGTCCCTCTCTCTCTCTCGTCGCTGTCTGTCTGTCTGTGTCTCCCTTCGCCTGTGTGTGTGTCTGTGCCTCCCCTAACCGCGACACCGCTGCGCGTCCACACACAGGCGTACACACACACGTACACACACACACACACGTACACACACACACACGTACACACACAAGTACACACACACACGTACACACACACACGTACACACACAGGTACACACGTACATACACACACACACGTACACACACGTACACGCACACGTACACACACATGTACATGCACACGTACGTACACACACGTACACACACGTACACACACGTACACACGTACACACACACGTACACACACACGTACACACACGTACATACACGTACACACACACGTACACGCATACACGTACACACGTACATACACATGTACACACACACGTACACACGCATACACACACGTACATACACATGTACACACGTAGACACACGTACACCCACACGTACACATACATGTACACCCACGTACACACACAGGCGTGTACACACGCACACACGTACACACATGTACACCCACACATGTACACACACACGTACACACACACACGTACACACATGTACACCCACACACGTACACACGCATGTACGCACACACACGTACACACACGTACACCCACACACGTACACACACGTACACCCACGTGCGCAACCGTTTGTACACATACGTACACACACACACGTACACCCACACACGTACACACACACATACACACGTACACACACACGTACACACACACACGTACACACGTACACACACAAGTACACACACACACACACGTACACACACACACACACGTACACACACACACGTGCACACACGTGCGAACTAATACGTGGGGGATCTTTGCGTGTCTTCAGTACCAGCACTACAAGAACCGGGACTTTGAGTGCGAGACGCGGATGCTGGTCCACCAGAGCCAGGCGGGAGGCATCATCGGACTCAAGGGGGCCAAGATCAAGGAGCTCCGTGATGTGATGAGCCCAGCTACTCACTCAGCTACTCACCCAGCTACTCGGCTACTAACCCAGCTACTCACCCAGCTACTCACTCAGCTACTCACTCAGCTACTCACTCAGCTACTCACTCAGCTACTCACTCAGATACTCACCCAGCTACTCACCCAGCTACTCATCCAGCTACTCACCCAGCTACTAACCCAGCTACTTGCCCAGCTACTCACTCAGATACTCACCCAGCTACTCACCCAGCTACTCACTCAGCTACTCACTCAGCTACTCACCCAGCTACTCACTCAGATACTCACCCAGCTACTCACCCAGCTACTCACTCAGCTACTCACCCATCTACTCAGCTACTCGCCCAGCTACTCACTCAGATACTCACCCAGCTACTCACCCAGCTACTCATCCAGCTACTCCCCCAGCTACTCACCCAGCTACTCGCCCAGTTACTCACCCAGCTACTCGCTCAGCTACTCGCCCAGCTACTCACCCAGCTACTCACCCAGCTACTCACCCAGCTACTCGCTCAGCTACTCACTCAGCTACTCACCCAGCTACTCACTTAGCTACTCACTCAGCTACTCACCCAGCTACTCGCTCAGCTACTCACCCAGCTACTCACTCAGCTACTCACCCAGCTACTCACCCAGCTACTCACTCAGCTACTCACCCAGCTACTCACTTAGCTACTCACTCAGCTACTCACCCAGCTACTCACTCAGCTACTCACCCAGCTACTCACTCAGATACTCACCCAGCTACTCACCCAGCTACTCACTCAGCTACTCACCCATCTACTCAGCTACTCGCCCAGCTACTCACTCAGATACTCACCCAGCTACTCACCCAGCTACTCATCCAGCTACTCCCCCAGCTACTCACCCAGCTACTCGCCCAGTTACTCACCCAGCTACTCGCTCAGCTACTCGCCCAGCTACTCACCCAGCTACTCACCCAGCTACTCACCCAGCTACTCGCTCAGCTACTCACTCAGCTACTCACCCAGCTACTCACTTAGCTACTCACTCAGCTACTCACCCAGCTACTCGCTCAGCTACTCACCCAGCTACTCACTCAGCTACTCACCCAGCTACTCACTCAGCTACTCACCCAGCTACTCGCTCAGCTACTCACTCAGCTACTCACCCAGCTACTCACTTAGCTACTGACCCAGCTACTCACCCAGCTACTCACTCAGCTACTCACTCAGCTACTCACTCAGCTACTCACCCAGCTACTCACTTAGCTACTCACTCAGCTACTCACTCAGCTACTCACCCAGCTACTCGCTCAGCTACTCAGCTACTCACCCAGCTACTCACCCAGCTACTCACCCAGCTACTCACTCAGCTACTCACCCAGCTACTCGCTCAGCTACTCACCCAGCTACTCACTCAGCTACTCACCCAGCTACTCACTCAGCTACTCACCCAGCTACTCGCTCAGCTACTCACTCAGCTACTCACCCAGCTACTCACTTAGCTACTGACCCAGCTACTCACCCAGCTACTCACTCAGCTACTCACCTAGCTACTCACCCAGCTACTCACTTAGCTACTCACCCAGCTACTCACCCACCCACTCAGCTACTCACTCAGCTACTCACCTAGCTACTGACCCAGCTACTCACCCAGCTACTCACCCACTCACCCACCCACTCACCCACTCACTTGTTCATCCACCCACTCAGCTACTCACCCAGCTACTCACTCAGCTACTCACCCACCCACTCAGCTACTCACTCAGCTACTCACCTAGCTACTGACCCAGCTACTCACCCAGCTACTCACCCACTCACCCACCCACTCACCCACTCACTTGTTCATCCACCCACTCAGCTACTCCCCCACCCACGCTCACCTGTTGACCGTTGACCCTGGTGACCGTTGGTTGTTGTTGTTGTTGTTTACCCCTTCCCCCGTGGCTGTTTACCGCAGAGGACCAGCACCAGCATCAAGGTGTTCCAGGAGTGTTGCCCCCGCTCCACGGACCGCGTGGTGCTCATCTCCGGCAAGCCGGACAGCGTCGTGGAGTGCCTCAAGTCCATCCTCTACGACCTGCAGGAGGTACACACACAGACAGACATACACACACATACACACACACAGACAGACATACACACACACAGACATACATACACACACAGACATACATACACACACAGACACACACAGACATACACACACACAGACACACACATACACAGACACACAGACACACACAGATATACACACACAGACATACACACACACACACAGACACACACACACAGACACACACACACAGACACACACACACAGACACACACAGACACACACAGAGACACATAGAGACACATTCACACAAAGACACAGAGACACAGAGAGACACACACACAGACATACACACACAGACATACACACACACACACATATACACACAGAGACACACAGAGACACACACAGACACACACAGACACACACAGACACACACAGACACACACAGAGACACACACAGAGACACACACAGAGACACACACAGAGACACACACAGAGACACACACAGAGACACACACAGAGACACACACAGAGACACACACACAGACACACACAGAGACACACACAGAGACACACACAGAGACACACACAGAGACACACACATACACACATACACACACACACAGACACAGAGACACACAGAGACACACACACACACACAGAGACACACACACATACACACACACACACAGACACAGACACACACAGACACACACACACACAGACACACACACACAGAGACTCTCACGTACCCGACGAAGGAGCCAACATCTCCCCACCCACCCCTCTCCCCTCCCAGTCTCAGATCAAGGGGCGATCGCTGCCCTACGACCCCAACTTCTACGATGAGACCTACGACTACGGCGGCTTCACCATGGCCTACGACGAGAGGGGGGCGGGGCCCGGCGCGGGATGGGGCCGCCCCCCGCCACGCCCCCCGCACCACGGCGGCGGCGGCGGCGGCGGCGGCGGCGGCGGCCGCTTCTACGACAGGGGCCCGGGGGGAGGCCGGCAGGGGCCACCGCCGGGGCCGCCCATGGGGATGCAGGTGGGGGGTGGGGCCTGGTGTGGCCTGGCACGTGCGGTGGTGGTGGTGATAGTGGTGATGGTGGTGGTGGTGGTTGTGGTAGGGGTGGTGGTAGGGGTGGTGGTAGGGGTGGTGGTGGTGGTAGGGGTGGTGGTGTGGTGGTGGTGGTTTGCTGGTGGTAGTGGTTTGCTGGTGGTAGTGGTGGTGTTGGTTTGCTGGTGGTGGTAGTGGTGGTGGTAGTGGTGGTGGTGTGGTGGTGATAGTGATGGTGGTAGTGGTGGTGGTGATAGTGGTGGTGGTGATAGTGGTGGTGGTGGTAGTAGTGGTGGTGTTGGTGTGGTGGTGATAGTGGTGGTAGTGGTGGTGATAGTGGTAATGGTGGTGGTGTTGGTGTGGTGGTGGTGATAGTGGTAGTGGTGTTGGTGTGGTGGTGGTGATAGTGGTGGTGGTGGTGGTAGTGGTGTTGGTTTGCTGGTGGTAGTGGTAGTGGTGGTGTTGGTGTGGTGGTGGTGTTGGTGTGGTGGTGGTGTTGGTGTGGTGGTGGTGTTGGTGTGGTGGTGGTGTTGGTGTGGTGTTGGTGTGGTGGTGGTGGTGATAGTGGTGGTGTGGTTATAGTGGTAGTGGTGGTGATAGTGATAGTGGTGGTGGTGATAGTGGTGGTAGTGGTAGTAGTGGTGGTGTTTTGTGGCCGATCGAACCTAACCCTGCCGCAGGCCGCGGTATGTTGGCTGCCGTTGACGAAAAGCTTTGTTGATCTTCGGATTTCCCCCCCCCCCCCCCCCCCCGCGTGTCTCGCCAGGGAGGCTATGAGGGGGGCCGCCGTGACATGGGGGGCTATGAGGGGGGCGCTCGCCGCGGAGGGGGGGGGCGGAGGTGGGGGGATGAGGGGGAGCCGGGAGGGACGAGGGGGAGGTCGCCCAGGGTGAGTGACACCCACACGGCCATCGTGAACTCCACCCACCCACACGGTCACCGTGAACTCCACCCACCCACACGGTCACCGTGAACCCCACCCACCCACACGGTCATCGTGAACCCCACCCACCCACACGGTCATCGTGAACCCCACCCACCCACACGGCCATCGTGAACCCCACCCACCCACACGGTCATCGTGAACTCCACCCACCCACACGGCCATCGTGAACCCCACCCACCCACACGGTCATCGTGAACCCCACCCACCCACACGTCCACCGTGAACCCCACCCACCCACGTCCACCGTGAACCCCACCCACCCACCCACACGTCCACCGTGAACCCCACCCACCCACACGGTCAACGTGAACCCCACCCACCCACACGGTCATCGTGAACCCCACCCACACGGCCATCGTGAACCCCACCCACACGGCCATCGTGAACCCCACCCACCTACACGGCCATCGTGAACCCCACCCACCCACACAGCCACCGTGAACCCCACCCACCCACACTGTCACCGTGAACCCCACCCACACGGCCATCGTGAACCCCACCCACACGGCCATCGTGAACCCCACCCACCCACACGGTCACCGTGAACCCCACCCACCCACACAGCCACCGTGAACCCCACCCACCCACACGGTCACCGTGAACCCCACCCACCCACCCACACATCCACCATGAACCCCACCCACCCACCCACACGGTCACCGTGAACCCCACCCACCCACCCACACATCCACCATGAACCCCACCCACCCACCCACACGTCCACCGTGAACCCGTGTCTCTCCCCCCCGTGTCTCTCCCCCCCCCCCGCCCCCCACCCCCCTCCACGGCGTGTCTCCGCGCGTGTGTCTCAGTGAGCGTGGGGGTCGTGGTGGAGTGGGGGGTTACGGTGTTGGGCCCCCCATGAGGTCCGGCGGCGGATACGGAGGCGGATACGACGAGGAAGACATGGTGAGGCCAGACGCTGGGGCAGACAGAGAGGACACGGAGAGACAGAGACACGCTGAGAGACAGGGAGACACTGAGGGAGGCGGATACGGAGGAGCGTACGTCGAGGAAGACATGGTGAGAGACAGAGACGCTGGGACGGAGACACGGAGAGACACGGAGAGAGACAGAGAGACACGCTGAGAGACAGAGAGACACGCTGTGAGAGACACGGAGAGACAGAGAGAGACGCGGAGAGACAGAGAGACACGCTGTGAGAGACAGAGACACAGAGAGGACACGCTGAGAGAGACACGCTGAGAGAGACAGAGACACGCTGAGAGACAGGGAGACACGCTGAGAGACAGGGAGACACGCTGAGAGACAGGGAGAGACAGTGAGGGAGGCGGATACGACGAGGAAGACATGGTGAGGCCAGACGCTGGGGCAGACAGAGAGGACACGGAGAGACAGAGACACGCTGAGAGACAGGAAGACACTGAGGGAGGCGGATACGGAGGAGCGTACGTCGAGGAAGACATGGTGAGAGACAGAGACGCTGGGACGGAGACACGGAGAGACACGGAGAGAGACAGAGAGACACGCTGAGAGACAGAGAGACACGCTGAGAGACAGAGAGACACGCTGTGAGAGACACGGAGAGACAGGGAGACACGCTGAGAGACAGGGAGACACGCTGAGAGACAGGGAGAGATACTGAGGGAGGCGGATACGGCGAGCATGACATGGTGAGGCCAGACGCTGGGGCAGACAGAGAGGACACGGAGAGACAGAGACACGCTGAGAGACAGGGAGACACTGAGGGAGGCGGATACGGAGGAGCGTACGTCGAGGAAGACATGGTGAGAGACAGAGACGCTGGGACGGAGACACGCTGTGAGAGACACGGAGAGAGACAGAGAGACACGCTGAGAGAGACAGAGAGACACGCTGTGAGAGACACGGAGAGACAGAGAGAGACGCGGAGAGACAGAGAGACACGCTGTGAGAGACAGAGACACAGAGAGACACGCTGAGAGAGACACGCTGAGAGAGACAGAGACACGCTGAGAGACAGGGAGACACGCTGAGAGACAGGGAGACACGCTGAGAGACAGGGAGAGACAGTGAGGGAGGCGGATACGACGAGGAAGACATGTTGAGGCCAGACGCTGGGGCAGACAGAGAGGACACGGAGAGACAGAGACACGCTGAGAGACAGGGAGACACTGAGGGAGGCGGATACGGAGGAGCGTACGTCGAGGAAGACATGGTGAGAGACAGAGACGCTGGGACGGAGACACGGAGAGACACGGAGAGAGACAGAGAGACACGCTGAGAGAGACAGAGAGACACGCTGAGAGACAGAGAGACACGCTGTGAGAGACACGGAGAGACAGGGAGACACGCTGTGAGACAGGGAGACACGCTGAGAGACAGGGAGAGATACTGAGGGAGGCGGATACGGCGAGGAAGACATAGTGAGAGACAGAGACGCTGGGACGGAGACACGCTGTGAGAGACAGAGAGACACGCTGTGAGAGACAGAGAGACACGCTGAGAGAGACACGGAGAGACAGAGACACGCTGAGAGACAGGGAGACACTGAGGGAGGCGGATACGGAGGAGCGTACGTCGAGGAAGACATGGTGAGAGACAGAGACGCTGGGACGGAGACACGGAGAGACACGCTGAGAGAGACAGAGAGACACGCTGAGAGACAGGGAGACACGCTGAGAGACAGGGAGACACGCTGAGAGACAGGGAGGCACTGAGGGAGGCGGATACGGAGGAGCGTACGTCGAGGAAGACATGGTGAGAGACAGAGACGCTGGGACGGAGACACGGAGAGACACGGAGAGAGACAGAGAGACACGCTGAGAGACAGAGAGACACGCTGTGAGAGACACGGAGAGACAGAGAGAGACGCGGAGAGACAGAGAGACACGCTGTGAGAGACAGAGACACAGAGAGACACGCTGAGAGAGACACGCTGAGAGAGACAGAGACACGCTGAGAGACAGGGAGACACGCTGAGAGACAGGGAGACACGCTGAGAGACAGGGAGAGACAGTGAGGGAGGCGGATACGACGAGGAAGACATGGTGAGGCCAGACGCTGGGGCAGACAGAGAGGACACGGAGAGACAGAGACACGCTGAGAGACAGGAAGACACTGAGGGAGGCGGATACGGAGGAGCGTACGTCGAGGAAGACATGGTGAGAGACAGAGACGCTGGGACGGAGACACGGAGAGACACGGAGAGAGACAGAGAGACACGCTGAGAGACAGAGAGACACGCTGAGAGACAGAGAGACACGCTGTGAGAGACACGGAGAGACAGGGAGACACGCTGAGAGACAGGGAGACACGCTGAGAGACAGGGAGAGATACTGAGGGAGGCGGATACGGCGAGCATGACATGGTGAGGCCAGACGCTGGGGCAGACAGAGAGGACACGGAGAGACAGAGACACGCTGAGAGACAGGGAGACACTGAGGGAGGCGGATACGGAGGAGCGTACGTCGAGGAAGACATGGTGAGAGACAGAGACGCTGGGACGGAGACACGCTGTGAGAGACACGGAGAGAGACAGAGAGACACGCTGAGAGAGACAGAGAGACACGCTGTGAGAGACACGGAGAGACAGAGAGAGACGCGGAGAGACAGAGAGACACGCTGTGAGAGACAGAGACACAGAGAGACACGCTGAGAGAGACACGCTGAGAGAGACAGAGACACGCTGAGAGACAGGGAGACACGCTGAGAGACAGGGAGACACGCTGAGAGACAGGGAGAGACAGTGAGGGAGGCGGATACGACGAGGAAGACATGTTGAGGCCAGACGCTGGGGCAGACAGAGAGGACACGGAGAGACAGAGACACGCTGAGAGACAGGGAGACACTGAGGGAGGCGGATACGGAGGAGCGTACGTCGAGGAAGACATGGTGAGAGACAGAGACGCTGGGACGGAGACACGGAGAGACACGGAGAGAGACAGAGAGACACGCTGAGAGAGACAGAGAGACACGCTGAGAGACAGAGAGACACGCTGTGAGAGACACGGAGAGACAGGGAGACACGCTGTGAGACAGGGAGACACGCTGAGAGACAGGGAGAGATACTGAGGGAGGCGGATACGGCGAGGAAGACATAGTGAGAGACAGAGACGCTGGGACGGAGACACGCTGTGAGAGACAGAGAGACACGCTGTGAGAGACAGAGAGACACGCTGAGAGAGACACGGAGAGACAGAGACACGCTGAGAGACAGGGAGACACTGAGGGAGGCGGATACGGAGGAGCGTACGTCGAGGAAGACATGGTGAGAGACAGAGACGCTGGGACGGAGACACGGAGAGACACGCTGAGAGAGACAGAGAGACACGCTGAGAGACAGGGAGACACGCTGAGAGACAGGGAGACACGCTGAGAGACAGGGAGGCACTGAGGGAGGCGGATACGGAGGAGCGTACGTCGAGGAAGACATGGTGAGAGACAGAGACGCTGGGACGGAGACACAGAGAGACACGGAGAGAGACAGAGAGAGGCACGCTGTGAGAGACACGGAGAGAGACAGAGAGACACGCTGAGAGACACGGAGGGAGGCGGATACGGTGAGCATGACATGGTGAGGCCAGACGCTGGGGCAGACAGAGAGGACACGGAGAGACAGAGACACGCTGAGAGACAGAGAGACACGCTGAGAGACAGGGAGACACGCTGAGAGACAGGGAAACACTGAGGGAGGCGGATACGGAGGAGCGTACGTCGAGGAAGACATGGTGAGAGACAGAGACGCTGGGACGGAGACACGTAGATAGACAGAGAGACACGCTGAGAGACAGAGAGACACGCTGAGAGACAGAGAGACACGCTGAGAGACAGGGAGACACGCTGAGAGACAGGGAGACACGCTGAGAGACAGGGAGAGACACTGAGGGAGGCGGATACGGAGGAGGGTACGGTGAGGAAGAAGACATGGTGAGAGACAGACGCTGGGACGGAGACACGCTGAGAGAGACACGCTGAGAGACACGGAGAGACAGAGACACGCTGAGAGACTGAAAGACACGGAGACACGCTGAGAGACTGGGAGAGACACTGAGGGAGGCGGATACGGTGAGGAAGACATGGTGAGAGACAGAGACGCTGGGGCAGACACGGAGAGACGGAGAGACATGCTGTGAGAGACACGGTGAAACGGAGACACGGAGAGAGAGACAAGAGACACGCTGTGAGACACGGAGACACGCTGGGAGACAGGGAGACACGTTGAGAGACAGGGAGAGACAGAGACACGGAGAGATAGAGAGACACGCTGAGAGACACTGAGACACGCTGAGAAACAGGGAGACACTGAGGGAGGAGGATACATCGAGGAAGACATTGTGAGAGACAGACGCTGGGACAGACACTGAGAGACAGAGACACGCTGTGAGAGACACGGAGAGACAGAGACACGCTGAGAGACACGTTGAGAGACAGGGAGAGACAGAGACACGGAGAGATAGAGAGACACGCTGAGAGACACGGAGACACGCTGAGAGACGGAGACACTGGGGGAGGAGGATACGGTGAGGAAGACATGGTGAGAGAGAGACGCTGGGGACAGACTGAGAGACAGAGACACGCTGTGAGACACGGAGAGACAGAGAGACACGCTGAGAGACACGCTGGGAGACAGGGAGACACGCTGTGAGACACGGAGAGAGAGAGAGACACGCTGTTAGACACGGAGACACAGGGAAACACGTTGTGAGACACGAAGAGACAGACACGCTGAGAGACACTGAGAGACAGAGACAGGGAGAGGCTGAGATACAGGGAGAGACACTGAGAAACACGCTGAGAGACAGAGACAGACACGCTGAGAGACACACGCTGAGAGACACACACGGAGAGACACACGGAGAGACACTGAACGAGAGACGCACACACGGAGAGACACACACACGGAGAGACATTGAACGAGAGACACGCACACACTGAGAGACAATGAACGAGAGACACACACACGGAGAGACAATGAACGAGAGACACATACACACGGACACACACACGGAGAGACACTGAACGAGAGACACATACACACGGACACACACACGGAGAGACACTGAACGAGAGACACATACACACGGACACACACACGGAGAGACACTGAACGAGAGACACACACACACACGGAGAGACACTGAACGAGAGACACACACACGGACACACACACGGAGAGACACTGAACGAGAGACACACGCACACGGAGAGACACTGAACGAGAGACACACGGAGAGACAATGAACGAGAGACACACACACGCACACGGAGAGACATTGAACGAGAGACACAGCTACAGAGAGACACACACGGAGAGACACTGAACGAGAGACACACACGGAGAGACACTGAACGAGAGACACACACACACACGGAGAGACACTGAACGAGAGACACACACGGAGAGACACTGAACGAGAGACACACACACACACGGAGAGACACTGAACGAGAGACACAGCTACAGAGAGGGTGATCTTGAAGGGTGTACGGAGAGAGACGCACCAATACACGGATATATAGTGCGATGCGCACACACACACACGCATGAGTGAGTGTGTGTCTGTCTGTGTGTGCGTCTGTGTTGTGGGGAGTGGTAGGGGTGGGAGCGGGGTAGCGCTGCCCTGCGCTACGAACCCGGCGACCCGGGTTCGATCCCCGCTCACGGCCAACACCGCCGGTGACGATTATCTGAACCGGTCCTGGGCCTCCCCTAGGTCGACTCGGCCTCAAATGAGTCACCTGGTGTAGCGGTGTTGAGTGAACATCGCCACTGGGGAGACAAAGGCGGCCGGGCGTGGTGCTGGCCACCCACCCCCTTGCGTGCCGTTCCGGGCTTCATATCCGGTGCTGCTACTCACGGCACTTGCCCCTACAGCCCTGCTAGAGGCTACCTGGGGGAGCTTTGTGTGTACATCATAGATGGTGCTGCTACTCGCTACTGACAGCACTTGGCACCCACAGCCCTTTTAGAGGCTACCTGGGGCAGCTTTGTCTGTGTGTACATCATATCCGGTGCTGCTACTCGCTACTGACAGCACTTGGCACCCACAGCCCTTTTAGAGGCTACCTGGGGCAGCTCTGTCTGTGTGCGCTGAGCTACTGGACAACTGTTTTTGAAAAGAGCTTGCTAGCTCTTCGGATTCTTGCAGTCTGATTGAAGAGTCTTATTCTGTGTTAACGTGACCTCGGTTCTCTTGTGACCCCTAACCCCTGTGACCTCTCGCGACCCGTGATCTGCCACTCAAGTCTGGATATGGTGAGACCCACACTCAGCCACCCGCCCAAACACTCGCTCAAACACTCAGTAAACCACCCACCCACTAACTCAAACACTCAAACACTCATCCACTAACTCAACCACTCACTCAACCACTCATCCACTCACTCAAACACTCACACACTCACCTACTCAACCACCCACTCAAACACTCACTCAACCACCCACCCACTAACTCAAACACTCACTCAAACACTCATCCACTCACTCAACCACTTACACACTCACTCAAACACTCATCCACTCACTCAACCACTCACACACTCACCTACTCAACCACCCACTCAAACACTCAGTAAACCACCCACCCACTAACTCAAACACTCACTCACACTCATCCACTCACTCAGCCACCCACTTAATCACTCACTCAAACACTCATCCACTCACTCAACCACCCACTTACTCAACCACTCACACACTCACCCGCTCACCCACTCAGCTACTCACCTACTCAACCACCCACTTACTCAACCACTCACACACTCACCCGCTCACCCACTCAGCTACTCACCTACTCAACCACCCACTCACTCAACCACTTGCTCAAACACTCATCCACTCAACCACCCACTCACTCAACCACTCACTCAACCACCCACTTAACCACACTCAACCACTCACTCAACCACTCATTCACTCATCCACTCACCCACTCAACCACTCACGCCAACACTCATTCACTCATACACTCACCCACTCAACTACTCAACCACTCACTCATTCACTCATCCACTCATTCACCCACTCAACCACTCAATCAACCACCCACCCACTAACTCAACCACTCAAACACTTACTCAACCACTCATCCACTCACTCAACCACCCACTCACTCAACCACCCACTTAACCACACTCAACCACTCACTCAACCACTCATTCACTCATCCACTCACTCAAACACTCACTCAACCACTCATCCACTCACTCAACCACCCACTTACTCAACCACTCACCCACTTAGCTACTCAACCACCCACTCACTCAACCACTCACTCAACCACCCACTTAACCACACTCAACCACTCACTCATTCACTCACTCATTCACTCATCCACTCACCCACTCAACCACCCACTCAACCAACTCACTCAACCACTCACTCAAACACTCATTCACTCACCCACTCAACTACTCAACCACTCACTCATTCACTCATCCACTCATTCACTCAACCACTCATTCACTCAACCACTCACCCACTCATTCACTCAACCACTCATTAACTCGCCCACTCATTCACTCTCCCCGCGTGTCTCCCCGCCTGTCTCTCCCCGCCTGTCTCTCCCCGCCTGTCTCTCCCCGCCTGTCTCTCCCCGCCTGTCTCTCCCCGCGTGTCTCAGGTCGAGGTGCAGCAGGGGGCGGTGGAGGGGGCGGTGGAGGGGGTGGATCCTACGGCTCAATGGGCGGCCCCGTGACCAGTTCACAGGTGTCCATCCCCAAGGACGTGAGTCGCTCGCCACTCACTCGCTCATTCGGCCCTTGGTCGCTCTCGCTCGCTCGCTCACTCACTCTCCTCCCTCACTCTCCTCCCTCCCTCTCCTCCCTCTCGCTCACTCACTCTCCTCCCTCCCTCTCCTCCCTCCCTCTCCTCCCTCTCGCTCGCTCGCCTCTCCTCCCTCTCCTCCCTCCCTCTCCTCCCTCCCTCCCTCTCCTCCCTCTCCTCTCCTCCCTCCCTCTCCTCCCTCCCTCCCTCTCCTCCCTCCCTCTCCTCCCTCTCCTCCCTCCCTCTCCTCCCTCTCCTCCCTCCCTCTCCTCCCTCTCCTCCCTCCCTCTCCTCCCTCCCTTCCCTCCCTCTCCTCCCTCTCCTCCCTCCCTCCCTCTCCTCCCTCCCTCTCCTCCCTCTCCTCCCTCTCCTCCCTCTCCTCCCTCTCCTCCCTCCCTCTCCTCCCTCTCGCTCGCTCACTCACTCCCTCCCTCTCCTCCCTCCCTCTCCTCCCTCTCCTCGCTCGCTCTCCTCCCTCTCCTCCCTCCCTCTCCTCCCTCTCCTCCCTCCCTCTCCTCCCTCCCTCTCCTCCCTCTCCTCCCTCCCTCTCCTCCCTCTCCTCCCTCCCTCTCCTCCCTCCCTTCCCTCCCTCTCCTCCCTCTCCTCCCTCCCTCCCTCCCTCTCCTCCCTCCCTCTCCTCCCTCCCTCTCCTCCCTCTCCTCCCTCCCTCCCTCTCCTCCCTCCCTCTCCTCCCTCCCTCTCCTCCCTCTCCTCTCTCCCTCTCCTCCCTCTCCTCTCTCCCTCTCCTCTCTCTCCTCCCTCCCTCTCCTCCCTCTCCTCCCTCTCCTCCCTCTCCGCCCTCTCCTCTCTCCCTCTCCTCCCTCCCTCTCCTCCCTCCCTCTCCTCCCTCCCTCCCTCTCCTCCCTCTCCTCTCTCCCTCTCCTCCCTCCCTCTCCTCCCTCCCTCTCCTCCCTCCCTCTCCTCCCTCCATCTCCTCCCTCCCTCTCCTCCCTCTCCTCCCTCCCTCTCCTCCCTCCCTCTCCTCCCTCTCCTCTCCTCCCTCCCTCTCCTCCCTCTCCTCCCTCCCTCTCCTCCCTCTCCTCCCTCTCCTCCCTCTCCTCCCTCTCCTCCCTCCCTCTCCTCCCTCTCCTCCCTCCCTCTCCTCCCTCTCCCCCCTCTCCTCGCAGCTGGCCGGCTCCATCATTGGCAAGGGTGGCATGAGGATTAAGCAGATCCGTGCGGAGTCGGGCGCCTCCATCAAGATCGACGAGCCGTTGGAGGGTTCCGAGGAGAGAATCATCACCATCACGGGCACGCAGGACCAGATCCAGAATGCTCAGTACCTGCTGCAGAACAGGTGAGGGTGTGGGGGGGGGGGAGGTGGAGGAGGAGTGGGGGAGGAGGAGTGGGGGTGGAGGGAGAGGAGATGGAGGAGGGGGTGGAGAAGGGGGAGGTGGGAGAGGTGGAGGAGGAGGTGGAGGAGGTGGAGGAGGAGTGGGGGAGGAGGGAGAGGAGGTGGAGGAGGGGGAGGTGGAGAGGAGGTGGAGAGGGGGAGGAGATGGTGGAGGAGGTGGTAGGGGTTGGGGGGGAGGGCGGGGAGGAGGTGGAGGGGGAGGAGGGGGAGGAGGAGATGGTGGGGGAGGAGGTGGTGGAGGAGGTGGTAGGAGTAGGGAGAGGAGGTGGAGGAGGGGGAGGTGGAGGAGGGGGAGGTGGAGGAGTGGGGGTGGAGGGAGAGGAGATGGAGGAGGAGGTGGTGGGGGGGGGAGGAGGGAGAGGAGGAGTGGGGGGGGGAGGAGGAGGTGGGGGGGGGGAGGAGGAGGTGGGGGGGGAGGAGGAGGTGGGGGGGGGGGAGGTGGGGGTGAGGAGGTGGAGGGGAAGATGGGAGAGGAGGTGGAGGGGGAGGAGGTGGTGGAGGAAGTGGTGGGGGGGGGGGAGTAGGGAGAGGAGGAGGAGGTGGGGGGGAGGAGGAGTGGGAGGAGGTGGGAGAGGAGTGGGGGGGGGTGTAGAGGGGGAGGAGTGGGGGAGGGTTTCTGCCTTCAACAACCAAAGACAAAGCTCCCCCGGGTAGCCTCTAGCAGGGCTGTAGGGGCAAGTGCAGTGCAGCGAGTAGCAGCACCACCTATGGTGTACAGACAGACACTCTCACACACTCAATCCCACACACTCTCTCACTCACACACTCTCACACACTCTCACAGACACTCTCACAGACACTCTCACACACTCTCTCACTCACACACTCTCACACACTCTCACAGACACTCTCACAGACACTCTCACACACTCTCACTATCACTCACTCTCACACTCACACACACTCACTCTCACACACTCTCACACACACACAGACACTCACACACTCTCACACACACTCTCACACACACACTCTCACCCTCTCACACACTCTCACCCTCTCACACACTCTCACACTCACACTATCACACTCAATCACACACCCTCTCACACTCACAGACACTCTCACACTCACACACCCTCGCACACTCTCACACACTCACTCTCACACACTCTCACACACACCATCTCTCACACACTCTCACTCTCACCCTCTCACACACTCTCACCCTCTCACACACTCTCACACTCACACACACTCTCACACTCACACTATCACACTCAATCACTCACACTCACAGACACTCTCACACACTCACACACACTCTCACAGATACTCTCACACACACTCTCACAGACACACTCACACACTCTCACACTCTCACTCACTCTCACACTTTCACACACTCTCACACTCACTCTCACACTCTCACACACATACACTCTCACACACATACACTCTCACACACTCACACTATCACTCACTCTCACACACTCACTCTCACACACACACACACACTCTCACACTCACACACCCCCTCACACCCACTCTCACTCACACACTCTCACACCCACTCTCACTCACACACACACACTCACTCTCACACACACACTCACACTCTCACAAACACACTCTCACACTCTCTCACACTCTCACAAACACACACTCACACACTCTCACACACACACTCTCACACACACACTCACACACACTCACACACTCTCACTCACACACACACACACAGACACTCTCACACTCACACACTCTCACACAGACACTCACACACACAGACACACTCACGCTCTCTCTCACTCTTTTACTAACTCACACTCTCTCACACTTACTCTCTCACTCGCTCACTCGCACCCACGCTCGTTCTGACACTCACACACACTCGCCAACACTCACTCACTCTCACTCACACACACGCTCTTACACACTCACTCTTTCACACCCTCACACTTTGTACCCAGAGTGTGAGAGTGTGTGAGTGCGTGCGTCTGTATTAATCTCAAAACCCATTGCTGTGTGTGTATGTTTGTCTTCCTGCGTGCGTGCGTGACTGTGCGCGTCCGTGTGCGGGTCTGCTGTGTCTACGATACTGCATGCATGTCTCCGTGCGTGTCTCTGCCTCCGTGTGTCTGTGTCTGTGTGCGATTGTCCCCTGTGTCGTCTGTGACTCTGTGTGTATCTCCGTCCGTCTGTTGTGTGTGTGTGTGTCCGTCCGTGTGTGTGTGTGTCTGTGCCTCTACCCATGTCTCTCTGTGTGTCTCTGTGTGTGTGTATCTGTGTGTGTGTGTCTGTGCCTCTACCCATGTCTCTCTCTGTGTCTCTGTGTGTGTGTGTATCTGTGTGTCTGTGCCTCTACCCATGTCTCTCTGTGTCTCTGTGTGTGTGTATCTGTGTGTGTGTGTCTGTGCCTCTACCCATGTCTCTCTGTGTGTCTCTGTGTGTGTGTCTGTGTGTGTGTGTCTGTGCCTCTACCCATGTCTCTCTGTGTCTCTGTGTGTGTGTATCTGTGTGTGTGTGTCTGTGCCTCTACCCATGTCTCTCTGTGTGTCTCTGTGTGTGTGTGTCTGTGCCTCTACCCATGTCTCTGTGTCTGTGTGTGTGTGTCTGTCTGTGCCTCTACGCATGTCTCGTCTCTGTCGCTGTGTCTCTGTGTGTGTGTATCTCTGTGTGTGTGTGTATCTCTGTGTGTGTATCTTTGTGTGTGTGTGTCTGTGCCTCTACGCATGTCTCTGTCTCTGCCTGTCTCTGCCTGTCTCTGCCTGTCTCTGTGTCTCTGTCTCTGTGTGGGTGTGGCTCTCTGCCTGCGCATGTGTGTATCTGTGTGTGTGTGTATCTGTGTATATCTCTGTGTGTATCTCTGTGTGTGTATGTGTGTGTGTGTCTGTGTGTATCTGTGTGTGTGTGTCTGTGTGTATCTGTGTGTGTGTATCTGTGTGTCTCTGTGTGTATCTCTGTGTGTATCTCTGTGTGTGTGTGTCTGTGTGTATCTGTGTGTGTGTCTGTGTGTATCTGTGTGTGTGTATTTGTGTGTGTGTGTATCTGTGTGTCTCTGTGTGTATCTCTGTGTGCATCTCTGTGTGTGTCTGCGTGTATCTGTGTGTGTGTATCTCTGTATGTATCTGTGTGTCTGTGTGTGTATCTGTGTGTGTGTGTATCTGTGTGTGTATCTCTGTGTGTGTATCTCTGTGTGTGTATCTCTGTGTGTGTGTGTCTGTGCGTGTCCGTATCTGCGTGTCCGTGTCTGTGTGTCTGTGTCTGTGCGCGTGTCTGTGTCTCGCTACCTCTGCGCGTCTCCGTCTCCGCGCGTCTCTGCGCCGTGTGTGTAACTGTGCCTCGGCGTGGCAGCGTGCGTGAGCGTATGGGGATGTGAGCGAGTGGGTTGAGCGTGGCACAGCCCTCCCGGTGTTTAGCAACAACCGCCACCATGAACCCCCACCCACCCACCCCAGCGCTCACTCCAACACCCGGTCTGTGCGTGTCTCTGCGTCTCTCTCTCTCTCTGTGTGTCTCTGTGTGCGTATCCGTGTGTGTGTGTGTGTCTGTCTGTCTGTGTGTGTGTGTGATTTATCTGGTGGATCCCTGGTTCCTCTATGTCTCTGGGTCTCTGTTTGTGTGTGTGTCAGTGAATGTGCACGTACGTCTGTGTGTGTGTGTGTGAGGCGCGCGTGAGTACTTCCTTGTATCTGCGGGTTTCTTTGTGTGTGTGTGTGTGTCCGAGTGTAACCCTCTGTGTGTCTCTGTGTCTCTGTTTGACTGTGCGAGTACACACTTTGTGCATTTGCGTATCCGTCTGTCTGTGTGTGTGCGTGTGTGTGCGTGTGTGTGTGTGTGTCGATCTGTGTGTCTTTGCACGTGTTTGCGTTGTGTCCGTGTGTGTATCCGCCTCTGCCTGTGTACGTGTGTACGTCTGTCTGTGTGTGTCTGCGCGTGTGTGTTTGTGTGTGTGTGTATATGTTTGTTTGTGTGTGTGTGTGTATGTGTGTGTGCGCGTGTGTGCGCACACAGTGTGAAGCAATACTCCGGACAGTTCTTTTAAAAGAGAAGAGAGAGAGAGAGATCATGCCACAGGAGTCCATCGAACCAGCTCACACACACGCACACGGAGACACACTCGGAGACACACTCGGAGACACACACACACACTCGGAGACACTCTCGGAGACACTCTCGGAGACACTCTCGGAGACACACTCAGAGACACACTCACACACTCGGAGACACACTCGGAGACACGCACACACACTCGGAGACACACACACACTCGGAGACACACTCAGAGACACACACACTCGGAGACGCACTCGGAGACACGCACACACACTCGGAGACACGCACACACACACTCGGAGACTCACTCGGAGACACGCACACACACACACTCGGAGACACACACACACACGGAGACACACACTCGGAGACTCACTCGGAGACACACACACTCGGAGACACTCACACACACTCGGAGACACACTCACGCACACTCGGAGACACTCGCACACTCAGACACACACACACTCGGAGACACGCACACGGAGACACACACACACGCACACGGAGACACACTCACACACTCGGAGACACACACACACTCGGAGACACACTCACACACACTCGGAGACACACTCACACACTCAGAGACACTCGCACACTCAGACACACTCGGAGACACACACACTCGGAGACACTCACTCAGAGACTCACACTCTGAGACACAGACAATCACACTCAGACGGACACTCACACTCGCGTGCACACTCTGAGACACAGACACTCGCAGACACTCACTCACACTCAGACAGACACACACTCACTCGCGTACACACTCGGAGACACAGACACTCACAGACACTCACACTCGCTCACACTCTGACACACACATTCGGAGACACAGACACTCACAGCCACTCGCTCACCCCGACACGCTCACACCGACACACACACACGTGGAGAGAGAGAGAGAGAGACACCCGCTCACTCGCACAGAGACTCACACTCTGAGACACAGACACTCACTCACACTCTGACAGACACACACACTCTGAGACAGAGACACTCACTCACACTCTGACAGACACACACTCGGAGACACAGTCACTCACTCACACTCTGACAGACACACACTCTGAGACACAGACACTCACTCACACTCAGACAGACACACACACTCTGAGACAGAGACACTCACACTCTGACAGACACACACACACTCTGAGACAGAGACACTCACACTCAGACAGACACACACACTCGGAGACACAGACTCGCAGACACTCACTCACACTCTGACAGACACACACACTCTGAGACAGAGACACTCACTCACACTCAGACAGACACACACACTCTGAGACAGAGACACTCACACTCAGACAGACACACACTCTGAGACAGAGACACTCACACCGACACACCGACACACACACGTGGAGATGGAGAGAGAGAGACACACCCGCTCACTCGCACAGAGACGCAAACACACACTTCACACTTTGGAGACGGCAGTGTGCACTCGACACGATGGCTGAGACGCACGTGGACACGCACGTGGACACGCACGTGGACACGCACGAGACACGAGACACGCACGAGGCAGACACAATGACGCAACTTAACAACCCAGCACACAACGGTAACGCAGTCAACCCCACCCCCTCTGTGTTTTATCTGTTCATGTGGGAACCGTTTTGTAGAATTATTGACATTCAATAAAAAAACCCACAATCCACAGGCTCGCTGTGTCCGTGTTTCTCACTGTCTTGCCCTAGTCCCCACGTCTCCCGTTGTCTCACCGTGTCCTAATGTGTCCCCACGTCTCCCGTTGTCTCACCGTGTCCTAATGTGTCCCCACGTCTCCCGTTGTCTCACCGTGTCCTAATGTGTCCCCACGTCTCCCGTTGTCTCACCGTGTCCTAATGTGTCCCCACGTCTCCCGTTGTCTCACCGTGTCCTAATGTGTCCCCACCCCCCCGTGTCTCACCTTGTCCTAATGTCCCCCCCCCGTGTCTCCCCGTGTCTCCCCTAGTGCCCATGTGTCTCCCCCATGTCTCAGACTCCCCTAGTCCACATGTGTCTCCCCTAGTCCCCGTGTCTCCTGTGTCTCCCCTAGTCCCCATGTGTCTCCCCTAGTCCCCGTGTGTCTCTCCCGTGTCTCCTCTAGTCCCCGTGTGTCTCCCCGTGTCTCCCCTAGTCCCCATGTGTCTTCGGTGTCTCCTCTAGTCTCCGTGTCTCCCCGTGTCTCCTCTAGTCCCCATGTGTCTCCCCTAGTCCCCATGTGTCTCCCCGTGTCTCCCCTAGTCCCCATGTGTCTCCCGTGTCTCCTCTAGTCCCCATGTGTCTCTCTGTGTCTCCCCTAGTCTCCGTGTCTCCCCTAGTTCCCATGTGTCTCGCCGTGTCTCCCCCGTGTCTCCTCTAGTCCCCATGTGTCTCTCCGTGTCTCCCCTAGTCCCCGTGTCTCCCCTAGTTCCCATGTGTCTCCCCCGTGTCTCTAGTCCCCGTGTGTCTCCCCGTGTCTCCTCTAGTCCCAATGTGTCTCTAGTCCCCGTGTCTCCCCGTGTCTCCTCTAGTCCCCATGTGTCTCCCGTGTCTCTAGTCCCCGTGTGTCTCCCCGTGTCTCCTCTAGTCCCAATGTGTCTCTAGTCCCCGTGTCTCCCCGTGTCTCCTCTAGTCCCCATGTGTCTCCCGTGTCTCTAGTCCCCGTGTGTCTCCCGTGTCTCCTCTAGTCCCCGTGTGTCTCCCCGTGTCTCCTCTAGTCCCCATGTGTCTCCCCGTGTCTCCTCTAGTCCCCATGTGTCTCCTCTAGTCCCCATGTGTCTCCCCTAGTCCCCGTGTCTCCTCTAGTCCCCGTGTGTCTCCTCTAGTCCCCGTGTGTCTCCTCTAGTCCCCATGGGTCTCCCCTAGCCCCCGTGTCTCCTCTAGTCCCCGTGTGTCTCCTCTAGTCCCCGTGTGTCTCCTCTAGTCCCCATGTGTCTCGACTAGTCCCCGTGTCTCCTCTAGTCCCCGTGTGTCTCCCCGTGTCTCCTCTAGTCCCCATGTGTCTCCCCGTGTCTCCCTTAGTCCCCATGTGTCTCCCCAGGCCACAGTGACAGTATAAGAGGGGGGCGTACCCTGGAAGTGGACATCTCTGGCTGGTAGATTCCAGAAGGGAGGCGTTCCTGGGGGCGAGGGGGGCGTGGCCTGGGGGCGACGGGGGCGGAGCATGCCCACGGTGACAGTATAAGAGGCGGCGTACCCTGGGAGTGGACCTCTGTGGCTGTAGTAGATTCCAGAAGGGGGGCGTGGCCTGGGGGCAAGGGGGCGGAGCCTGGCCACGGAGACAGTATAAGAGGGGGCGTACCCTGGGAGTGGACATCTCTGGCTGTAGTAGATTCCAGAAGGGGGGCGTGGTTCTTCCGTAAAGTCACCACGTAGAAAAGTCACCACGTAGAAACGTCACCGCGTCGTCCCCAAGCGCCGACGTCATCACTTCGTCTCACGCGCTGACGTCACCGCATTCACACCCCGCCCCACATCTCACGTGGGGTGGGGAAAGATTGCGATGCCGTGGTGACGACACCACGACCACCTCACGTGGCGACGTCTCCGCGCACCACCTCATGGAGTGACGTCACCGCGTTCCACCCCCACGTGGCGACGTCACCGCGTTCCGCCTGACGTCCACCTCGCGTAATGACGTCACCGCGTTCCACCTCACGGAGTGACGTCACCGCGTTCCATCTCAGGTGGCGACGCCACCGCGTTCCGCCTGACATCCACCTCGCGTAATGACGTCACCGCGTTCCACCTCACGTGGTGACGTCACCGCGTTCCACCTCAGGTGGCGACGTCACCGCGTTCCGCCTGACGTCCACCTCACGTGGTGACGTCGCCGCGTTCCACCTCACGTAGTGACGTCACCGCGTTCCAACTGACGTCACCTCGCGTAATGACGTCACCGCGTTTAACCCACCTCACGTAGTGACGTCACCGCGTTCCGCCTCAACGGAGAGACGTCACCGCCTTCCACCTCACGTGGCGACGTCACCGCGTTCCGCCTCACATAGTGACGTCACCGCGTTCCGCCTCAACGGAGTGGATGTCTCTCCGCGCGCACTTAACGTAGTGACGTCACCGCGTTCTGCCTCACGTAGTGACGTCACCGCGTTCCACCTCACGTAGTGACGTCACCACGTCCCACCTGACGTCCACCTCACGTGGTGACGTCACCGCGTTCCACCGCACGTGGCGACGTCACCGCGTTCCGCCTCAACAGAGTGACGTCTCTCCGCGCACTTAACGTAGTGACGTCACCGCGTTACACCTCACGTGGCGACGTCACCGCGTTCCGCCTCAACGGAGTGACGTCTCTCCGCGCGCACTTAACGTAGTGACGTCACCGCCTCACGTGGTGACGTCATTGCGTTCCACCTCACGTGGCGACGTCACCGCGTTCCGCCTCAACGGAGTGACGTCTCTCCGCGTGCACTTAACGTATTGACGTCACCGCCTCACGTGGTGACGTCACCGCGTTCCACCTCACGTGGCGACGTCACCGCGTTCCGCCTCTGCAGAGTGACGTCACTCCGAGCGCACTTAACGTAGTGTGACGTCACCGCGTTCCGCCTCACGTAGTGACGTCTCTCCGCGCGCACTTAACGTAGTGACGTCACCGCGTTCCGCCTCAACGGAGAGACGTCACCGCCTTCCACCTCACGTGGCGACGTCACCGCGTTCCGCCTCACATAGTGACGTCACCGCGTTCCGCCTCAACGGAGTGGATGTCTCTCCGCGCGCACTTAACGTAGTGACGTCACCGCGTTCTGCCTCACGTAGTGACGTCACCGCGTTCCACCTCACGTAGTGACGTCACCACGTCCCACCTGACGTCCACCTCACGTGGTGACGTCACCGCGTTCCACCGCACGTGGCGACGTCACCGCGTTCCGCCTCAACAGAGTGACGTCTCTCCGCGCACTTAACGTAGTGACGTCACCGCGTTACACCTCACGTGGCGACGTCACCGCGTTCCGCCTCAACGGAGTGACGTCTCTCCGCGCGCACTTAACGTAGTGACGTCCACCGCCTCACGTGGTGACGTCATTGCGTTCCACCTCACGTGGCGACGTCACCGCGTTCCGCCTCAACGGAGTGACGTCTCTCCGCGTGCACTTAACGTATTGACGTCACCGCCTCACGTGGTGACGTCACCGCGTTCCACCTCACGTGGCGACGTCACCGCGTTCCGCCTCTGCAGAGTG